TGCCAAATTCAGCACCAGCGGACAGGCCAAAGATTGAACATTAAGAAGCTGAACTACCTTCCCACCTTTAGAAGTGGTCCCAGCCCCACAGGCAGGCATGGAGTAGGGATTTGCCTGGAGGCCAGATCACCTGTGTGGACTACTACCACTCTCCAGCTCCAGCAGAGACCCAGTGCCAAGCAGGGCTCATCTCACTCTGCTGTACAATGACCATTTCCAAAGAGGAGAGGGTTGGAAAGAGGCAGGGAAGGAAGCAATCCTTCCCCCAAGCAGCACAGAGCTAGTGAATCCCTTCTACAGGGAATGGGAAGGACCACATGGTCACGGACCTTCCCTCTCCACCTCCAGCTTGCTCCTTGATCACTTCCAACCACACCATGCACTCCAACACACTTATCTAAAGTGATCACTCTCCTTACAATGTGTATGATAATCAAGTTGGGCCATTTCCAGCACAAATCCAGGTTCCCCCCCCCCCCCCAAAACCCATTCTCCTGTTGGTAATAGTAATTGTAAGGAGAGTGGTCACTTTAGATAAGCTATTACCAACAGGAGAGTGATGATTGATGATTTAACTGGGAATTGGTCCTGCTTCGAGCAGGGGGTTGGACTAGATGACCTTCTGGGGTCCCTTCCAACCCTTATATTCTATGATTCTATGATCACTTTAGATAAGCTATTACCAGCAGGAGAGTGGGGTGGGGGGAGGTATTTTTTCATGCTTTGTGTGTATAAAAAGATCTTCTACACTTTCCACAGTATGCATCCGATGAAGTGAGCTGTAGCTCACGAAAGCTCATGCTCAAATAAATTGGTTAGTCTCTAAGGTGCCACAAGTACTCCTTTTCTTTTTATACAACATGCAGACAAAAGGCATAGAGCCTGATTTTCCCCCCATTTATAACTCTTATCCTCTTATAACTTAATAAAAATACTGTACTTGCAGCAAAAATAGGTAATCAGCCACCATATTGGTGATGGCAGATGCAAAGTTACAAACCGGGGTATAAACCTGCGACGCACTTTGGGATCCTGTGGCATTAAAGTCATTACATCAATATAGAATTAGTAGTAGTAGCAGTAGCTTTGCCTGCCAGTTCTCATCTTACTTCAAATATCAGCTGAAAAACTCTTGCTTATATGCCTCTTAAATTTTTTCTTTCTTTGTTTTTGGGCTCATGAATGAATACTATAATTTGTTTCCCCGAACAATGTCTCTACACAATTCTTTTATGCAACTTATACCATATACTAGGAACACACAATTCTGAATGCATTAAAACGTTTTAGGCTACAGTTTGTCTGAAATATGAGTTTTTAAACTGAAGTTACATTGTACCGTAAGCTGTCACCAACAATATTTTCTATAGGAAAATGTACAAAAGATGTACAGAACACTGGAAAGGGAAACACCACAAAAATAGGAATTAGCTGAAATATTTCTTCAACTGTGACCCTTAGAAAAACTGCCAACATTTCAGATTAAAATACTCTTTAAGCAGCAGAGGGAAGAACATCAGATAGATGTTTTCTGTGCTATAAATTATAGCAGTTGTCCACTGCTGTGAGAATACAGTAGAACAGTGTTTCCCAAACTTGGGACGCCGTTTGTTCAGGGAAAACCCCTGGTGGGCCGGGCCGGTTTGTCTACCTGCCACATCTGCAGGTTCGGCTGATTGCGGCTCCCACTGGCCGCAATTTGCCGTGTCCGGCCAATGGGGTCTGCGGGAAGCGGCGGCCAGTACGTCCCTCGGCCCGTGCCGCTTCCCGCAGCCCGCATTGGCCGGGCACAGCGAACCGCGGCCAGTGGGAGCTGCGGTCGGCCGAACCTGCGGATGCGGTAGGTAAACAAACCGGCCCGGCCTGCCAGGAGCTTTCCCTGAACAACCGGTGTCCCAAGTTTGGGAAACACTGCAGTAGAAGATGGAGCAAAGATGCCAACTACTATTATTTCAACACTCAAGTGACTTAGAATTTAAAGTAGTTATCCAGGAAAAAAGGAGACGAGCTATCCATCCTGATGTTGATGAACTCTTTTTGTGACTTATTCTCCAGGACTTCCAAGATGTTTTCCCCTGAATGTTTAAATGTAAATTTCAGTTTCTGTCATGTAATATCTCCTTGTAAAAGAACTGTTTTACTAGACGCTTATATCATTTAGAGTCCTGGCTTAGACCCTCTTAAAACTGAAACATTCCATTATGAATTATTTGCATGCTGTGTACCGTAAACCCCAGGTTAAAAAAAGAAATCCGTACTAATTCATTATATTTTAAAAGTCCAAAGAGGAACAAGATGCATATGAAACAATAAGCTCATCTCATGATCTTTCACTGTTGTCACCATTTTCCTGCCATCAGTCTACTTCATCTCTTCCATACTTAAATAAAGAATGTTTTTTAACCATTTCCCTCTGAAGTATGGAGTACTGACCACAGTTAGATAGGATACTGGTCTAGATGGACTCTAGTTTGAAATAGTATGACAGTTCTTATGTTCCTATATTCCTGTGAATCCACCTATGTTTACTCCTGTTACACTTATCTCAACTTAGATTGCAAACTGTGCAGAGCAGGGACTCCATCTATTAGTTTTGCACACCCTACACACATCTATGGCATTATTTATTATTTAAGTTCTTATTAGACAAGTTCAGCGGCCAACAATTGAATGTTAAAGTCAAAATTTTAAAACCTGGTTTTCTTACAGATGCAAATACTTGTGTGCACAAGCAAATTATGCCATGTAATAGGACATCTGTGTGACATCATTTTTGTCTGCATATAATTGCAGGTACATAATATCCCCTTGAAAAAGCACACAAAAAGGGAGCATGGGTTATAAAAACTGGACCCTGACAAATAAATGAGAGTTGCAGTCCCTGTCATGCAATAATTATCTCCATTTGGACCCAGACACAATTCCTATGACTGAGCCCTGCAGTCAGGCAAATACTTGAGGCTAAATTCAGCTCACAGCAGTGAGGTGCAAATGCCCCGTCCTCCCCCCTGCACTCACCCTCAGGATTTGTCCTTTAATTAATTTCAGTAGCAGGGGTAAGTACAGTATGGCTGCTGCTGCAGCAATCCAGAAGATGGATTTGAGTGCATGGTTACATTGTCACTAAATTTGACCCAGCTGCCCCTCCATCCAGAGGGTAAGAGAGTCCACTGAGAACTCAACCCATGGCAGCATTGGCTGATCATGCGCTCTGTAGGTAAGAGATGGGAAACTGTCCAGGGATCCCTGAGGAAGCTGTAGGGATGTGGATTGGAATCTGCCCCCCATTCCAAGAAATATCTGAATTGGCATTGCTGGCTCACAGGGCTGTAAAAGTTTCACAGCAGGCTAGATGTGATTTCATCCCCTCTACAGAAGCAAGAACAAATCATACTGAAAGGTCTGGCTCAATGACCACCCCCTGAGCATGATATATTCAGACCTTCATGTTGCTCAGGGATAAAAACGTGTAAGATATATGAATATACCTAAAGCCCATAAACACAAAAATGTATTGGTTTGAAGGCCAAGAGCAGTAAAACATTGCCCAAATGGGAAAATAGTTCCTAAGATTGTAGCAAGTTGTCTGACTCAAGAGTATTTTTTTTCTGTACCTGCCAGTGGCCCCTGGACACAGGTCACTACTGATTATCCTTCCAGAATTTTTTAAAAAGTGCTAAAAATCTTCAGTGTAAAAAGCTACTTTATGGGCCCAGTGAGAAGTTCCCCTTTCCCTGCCCAAAACCAAATTATTAAGTTGTTATTGAGATGGTTAGGACAATTTTGCACACGTTTGCCTGTTGGTGTTTGGAAAGCAGCCTGGAGTGCTATTGAAATTGTATTCCTATTTAAGGAGCAAGGTAATATTATTCTGAAATGGACTCAGGATTTATGACAAATATATTAAAAACCCCAAACAAAATAGTCTTCACGACAACATCGCTGAAAGTGACCTCAAGCCAATGTGGGAAGGAACAAATCAACAAAGAGAGTAACCGAGTATTCCCTCCGTTCAACCTAGCCCACAGGGTTAGGAACTTGAGCTGGCATACAGTATCTGATCACCTGCGGAAGCAGTTTGTCAGTCCATACACCTCTCGTGTATGACAGAAAAGAGACAGAGAGATATGTATGCTTCGAAAACAGTTAAAGATTTATTAAGGAAATTGACAATAGCAGGGAAAGAGGAATGATAACTAGAATAAACAACCCAATACAAATGCAAGTGTGGCTGCCCCCAGTTGGACGTGAAGCCCGGAGACCCATACAACCCTTAACCGTGGCTATATTTAAACTAAACTAAAGGAAAACACAATCTACCCCAATACTGTACTCAGGGCTGTCCCTAGCCATTTTGGTGCCCTACTCAGCCCCCCCCCCCGGGGGGGGGGTGATGTGGGGTCCCAGGCCTCCACGGGGGGGGGCGGCCTCCATGGGGGGGCAGGAGCAGGCTTGAGGGTCGGGGGAAACCGCCCCCACAGCATGAGCCGGTGGAGTGGAGCGGGTTGGAGCCGGGTCCCTCCGTTTCCTGCCGCCCGGTGAGTGCAGGGCAGGACCGACCCTGCACTCACGGGGCGGCGGGAAGTGGAGCGACCGGGCCCCAGCCTGCTTTGTTCTGCTCCCCTGGCTCCCAGACTTGCGGCTTGGGGGGCAGGGGGCTACCGCCCCCCCAGCACTCACCGGTGGCGCGGCTGGGAGCCAGCAGCGCAGAGCGGGCTGGGGCCAGGTCGCTCCACTTCCCACCACTGGTGAGTGTAGGCCCAACCCCTGCTGCAGTCCTCAAGGGAGTGGGGGGCAGGGCTGGGGTGGAAAGAGGCAGAGCAGGGGCTGGAGCAGCATGCAGCTGCGTAGGGCACCAGGAAATGTGGTGCCCCAAATTTCCCATTGCCCTGCACAGCTGCGAATTTTGCGTATGGATAGGAATGGCCCTGACTGTACTGAGTCAGAGGAGACAACTTCAGGTAAGACAAAACAACTGATGGTGGAGTATCTCGTTGTAGCTTGACACTGTGGGTTCCAAATCCTGGACCCCAAACCAAGCTTCGCAGCCTGACTTGGCCTACGGGAGAGAGGAGCATAGGACCCTCAGCGAAGATCTACTGGAACCAGGATTGCAGATAAAGGAGTCGCTGGAATCAGGATATAGGTAGGTGTTATAGTTCATGAGTGATGGTAAGTGATGCCTTCTTGGCCAACGGTGTGGGCCCGAAGTCACTGAGGAGATCCTCGACGTCCGCGGGAATCAATGTGATACCTGGCTGCCGCTCTGGTGGATGGCAAGAATGCTCAGGCACACCATCTTGAATCATGGACTCCATTGATTTCTGTTCCATAATTAACACATTTTATACTAATCATTACAGCAAACACATTAATTCAAACATAAACATTAACGTCATTAAACATACATTTAGGGGAAAACTTCCCAACACCATCCCCATCTCTCCCTTTGACCATGAAAATTCTTAGAGTAAACCCCTGAAATAGTCTTCATGTCAGATCCTAGGCATTCTAAAGTGAAATCTACAAAGGGTACAGCTCTAAATGGCTTGGTATTAAAGATGTGGGAATACTAGGACCAAACTGAACGGTGATATAAATGGAGGTGTAAGTTACACATGAGGTTTAAGCAGGTCTGAAAATGAATGGTGATAAATGATATAAAGTTGTAAGTGGTTCAGCAGTGTAGTTTACATGCCAAAAGGACAGATGAGTTAGTGTAGCCGGAAGAATAACTCTCTGGAAGAAGTTAAATAAAGCAATGTTTCTTACAACAACCAGGTAGTTAGTTATCCATATTATTCCTGTGCTGGGTTTTATTCTTCAAGGCTTTCAATCTGACAACTGTTACCAGTCCTAAATTGCTAAAAAGAAGGACAAGGCAGGGTAAATGAATGAAACGGGATAAAAGAATATGAGAATGCAAAAGATACAGACAGAATACAGAAGGACAACAAAAGAAAATGAGTAAGAGGGAGAGGAGATACTTCACCTTGCTATATCTAGATACTTCAGAGGTCTCAGATCTCACCAGGTTTGCATTTGAAGAATAGTATCCATCGCTCTGGCTCATGCCAACAAGGCTCTTTGCTTCCATATCTTCAGTTTGGCCTCTGACCACCAGTCTGGGTGCCCCCTCCAACAAGGATGGGTCTTGGCCACCAGTGACCTACTTACTGTCCTAGAGCATTGTTGGATGAGGCCGGGCAGGCTGCCCCAACAGAGCTGCACTTCTTGTCTAGCTACCACTGTTAGAGGGCTTTCCCGTCACCCTCTCCCCTGGTTCTCGTCACACAGACAGAAAGCAGAAGACCAGAAGTCCGAAGTGCAGGCAATACAATGTTTACTGGGGTTAGTTCCAAGCAAACATGGATACCATAGTTCTACATGTCAGCATAGTCTGATTCCCAGTGTTCCATTTCCAGCTCTGACGCCGCAGTGTTTACCCCATGTCCCCCTTCCCAGCTCTGACACTGCAGAGTCTTGCTTATGTCCCTGTTCCCCATTCCCACCTCTTCCTCCTTAGCAGGCCCAAATATACCTGCAGTGCACACCCCTAATCACACTCCTTACACTTATGGTCACATTCTGTTTTGCAGGGTCATGGGTCTTCGTCCCACCTCTTTTGTATCCCATGTGGGGGTAAGGAGTGAGGTTGTGTTCTAGACAATGCCAGGCTTTTCTTTGGCTTTTAGTGTTTCTTATGCCTCCACCCCCTCCCCGCAACTGGTTGCTTGACCTTGGCTTGAGAAAGGAGCTCATATATTACACTCCCACTATGCCTGGTAACACTTTAACTGCTCTATCCCTTATCTCTTCCCATTGTACTAAAAACCCCATCTGGTTGTGGGAAGTTCAACACACAGTATCTTTGTTCATTGTTCTTCACACATATCAGCGTAAGATATATGGATATAAAAAAGTCAAACCCAAAATTCTATCTCAGACTAACCAACGGGCTGATATGCTAACCACCACCCCCTCAGAAGAATCAACCCCATCCCCATGCTGAAAAAGCTGAGGGACAGTGAAGCATAAAACTTTCAGATCAGCAGTTTAGTGAGTTTTTCTTTACTACTGAAAAGTAGTGAAAGGGAAGGTGATCATGGAAGGTAGTTGGCAGTTCCTCTCTCATCCAACGTAAATATTTAGATCTCACATCTCGGACAGCTGTGAGTTAAAATGGGTTAAAATTCTTGGGGTTGGGGGGAAATGGAGTTTGCAATGGAAATAGCAAACTGTGCTTAATTATAAAGCTACCTGTTTGATGCATGAAGTAGGATAACAGATCTGGACTAGTTAACTTGTAACATGATTTATTATGGGACAAGTTTATCTCCCAATCCAGAACATTTTACCTAGCAAGACAATGGAAATAAACCATATTTCTCCTCACCCACCAAAGGATTAGTTTAAACAGAGTCTGAAGCTTTAGTGCTAGACAATTATTGAGACTAAATTATCATACATCTGGGTGAGATCAAGAAGTCTTTTGTTTTACATATGGCACAATCAGGGATTTTTTCCCCCTCTTGAAGAGATTTTAAAATACCACTCTGTGTCATCATTATAATTCAGGATAGAACCACTCTCTGAAGGCAGAAAGTCAGAGTCAACAATGTACATAGCTACCACTTAAATTCACATCCCCAGAAATCATGAACCATAACTATTTGTCTCGAATAATGTGAAAAACATCTTACTCAGGGGTGGCCAAAGTACAGTCTATGGACCTTAACTTTCCATTACAACCCACAGCTGCTTTCTCCAGATAATGTAGATCATGCAGACTACAGGTCCCAGCATGTGCTGCTTCATCTCAGTTCAAATGTGTTGACTTTTAGGTGTATACACTATATGCAAGCTTGGGGATTTAGATGGGCACATGATTAGAAAGGTGAATACATATTCATGTGTCCAACCAACTCCATGACTCATATATGCACATGTAGTCACATGCAGGCACAATATTTAGTTTCACACAAGTTTTGGAAAAGTTTGTTTTCTCATACTGCTTACAATCCAATAAAAATCATAATGCTTAGGCGCTGCAATTCTGATAGAAAATTGTAGACAGGTTCTTTGGAAAACTGAATTTTCCTGATACTGCTGAATTCAAGCATGTTTTCTTCATCCTTAGAAACAATTTTCTACTATTGAAGAAAAATACAGAATACACACAAGGAATTTGAACAGTGTAATATGAAATAGTTTCTTGTTTTCCATGAGACAGTCATATCTGCTCAGGAAAAGATTTTGTGACTATTTTTTTTCCCTCCAAGTTAAGAGTATTATTTCTGTCTCCTCCTCCCATAGGAACAGCAAGGAAGGAAGGAGAGAAAGAAAAGCATAAAAAGTGAAGTTGAGGGAACAGTGACAAGAAAAAAAAATCTTGATTGCCTCAGAAGGAGGAAAAAAAAAAAAAGATCACTGGTCTATTACAGGAATGCTGTGTATTATGAAAGCACCAGTCTTGGGTCCATTTTTAAGGCCGAGTTCTGCACTTAAATAAAGTATTCTAATACTATGGTGATAATGATGGTATAAAAACACAGCTGGATAGTGTTTATAGGTTCTTAAGAAGAAATAATATCTGAATCATAGCTTTTCTTCTCACTAGGCTTGGGAGGATTAGATCATCAGTAAGTGACAGTAGATGTTCATTTCACCAGACACATTAACAAAAATTTACATCTGTAATAACCAGAGTTTACAGATAGGCAAAATAAGAAAAATGCTGCTTGAGAAGAGTTTGATTTAAGAATATTTATTTTGTATATTTTGATGTGATGTGGACAATTGTGTTTTGATGGCAATAAAGCTTTAACTTTTTGAAATCTCAAATCTCTACTGTCATTAAAGAATTATGGTCTGATCTCACCTATTGCCTGACCCCTCCTCCCCACCCCAATTTCCTGCAATTAAAAATTTAAGTTAATAAAAATTTTAAAAATGCTTAAAACTAAACATTGATATGTCAAAATTATAAAAAATAAAAATCAAATTGTGCTAGGCTACTTATGACACAGCTTTTCAAGATCTGTTTCAACACTTTGGAGGCTCTAGAATTCTGACTGTAAGTTACTCATATTCCCATTAGTCTCATTATGTTGACTTATGTACTCCAGAATTAGGATTCACAACTTCAACTCTCAAACCAGGAGATGTCACACATATTGGCTCAGTGTGAAGATTAAAAAAATTGAGAGGATTTCCTCATTCCCCCACAATCTCGTGTGGCAGGGCTGTGCAGGAGTAAGTATTGGTTCAATATGTGTTCTAAACCCATTTTTGTCCCACCACTGCTGCAAATTCCCAGGTTTCCTTTACCTCCCCATCTACATCCTATTCCCAAAATAGAAAAAAATTCCAGTGTCTTAAAAGCTACCTCAGGAAACGGAATGCAATTCCCCATAATCTTGTGTGATGGTACTCCTGAAATTCTAGTGACACCTCACAGGTCCAAATCTAGCAAGTAGCTCCAAGAACCCTTTACAATCACAGTCAGGAAAAGTTACCTAAGCTGTTTACATTGTCCACATCACTGTAGTATCCGAGCATCTCATAATCCTTAATGAGCTACAGGTATACTATTATCCCCATTTCACAAGGGATACTGAGGCACAGAGAGGCTAAGTGACTTGTTCAAGGTCACACACTGTGGAAGAACAAGAAACTGAACCATAGTCTCCCAAATCCTAAACTAGTTCCCTAACCACTGGGCCATCCTTCCTCTGGATAGTGGCTCTTTTAAGGGTCACCCCTCACTCAGAGGTTGGGAGAGTGACAAGGCATCATCTGAGCTGATGGGGCTTGGGTAAGCCATTGGCCCCATATTTCTCAAACTTTTGTATTGGTGACCCCTTTCACACAGCAAACCTACGAGTGCGACCCCTCCTTATACATTAAAAAAATATTTTTTGTATTTAACACTATTATAAATGCTGGAGTCAAAGCAGGGTTTGGGGGTGGAGGCTGACAGCTCGCGACCCCCCCCATTTAATAAACTTACAACCCCATTTGAGAACCCTTGCCCTATCTAAATCCTATCTTTCCAACTTCAGCCCACACTCAAACCCAGATTAGCAGCTGCAAGGAGTCAGAGGAGCTGCTGTTCTGGAATATAGACATCTATTTTACTTCCCGTCAGTTTAGTACATTTCCACTCCTATTCTCCTCTCATGAGTCTTGAAAGGCATCAGATCAGCAACAATTTGTAGACGGAAGCCACTTGGACCATCTTTTAGAGTCAGCCAGCTTTATTTGAACATTAGACAGTAGTTGGTTCCATGGGAGTTATAACTCTTTGAAACACCTTTAAACAAAGAGTCTTGGCTTGTGCCTTCTCATTTGATTCCCACGTATCTTAGCTGCACTGTGGGGTCAGAGAATGAAGGAAAAATCCTTCCAATTCTATATTAAGTGCAGATATCAAAAAACTGCATTATTTGAAGTAAATTACTTCTATGAAACTGTTTTAAATGTATTTAGTTTACTAAAGTCATGGTCAACAGGCGGTTCATATTAATCTCAAATTTAAAGCAATCCCAATGCTTTGAGTCTTTAAAATCTCACATTAATTCCTGGGGTTTGTGTGTGTATTTAACAGGTGATTTTATTGTATAGTGGTAATTTAAAAAATAGCAGGGAAGATAACCCTTTTCATTCCAAGGTCACATTTTATTCCTATGAATAAAGTCAGAGCTGTCAAGGGGAATATGTACTGCTTTTTCGGTAAGGACGTATGCTAGAGTTACTGGAGTTGGTAACAAATAATACAGTATAATAATAATATATTAGGCCAACAAAAAGTTGCAAAACATGACAAGTCAACTTACATCTTGAAATATAAGTAATGTGGTTGCTGCATTTATATAAGTCTGATCTACATTTTTATAGTTTGTCTCTGTACATTTGTACAGTAGTACTGCTAGTTTAAAGAATCTCATCTTCCTGAATCTCTGCCAGCCCACTGTTTCCTCATACCAATACCAATATCAGAAAACAGAAGTGCAGATGTAATTTTAAACTGACAGGCTTAATCTACCTGCATACCAAAGATTTTAACCTCTCCCTTCAAATTTACTCATCACACTGGATGTGAAGCCAACAACTAAGCAGAGGAATTTCAGATTCCCAACAGTGAAAAGGCTACTACTATTTTAATGTTCAGTTTTAAAGATTTGTCTCCAATACTTTAGAAAGAGTAAATGGATTATGAAAACAGATTACATTTTGTAAATTATAGTAACCTGAGATTTATTACAAAGTTACCATGCTGCACTCAATGCAATTTTAAAAAAGTCTGATCTCAAAGAATTACATTCTTTAAAACGATAGAAAAGTAAAAATTGCACATACTTCGATAGTTTAAACACTAGACATTTTTCATCTATAAAGCTGGCCTCATGTACAACAATCTTTTGAAATGAAATTCAAGGATGAAACTGTACATAGTCCCCTCTATGAATTTGAGGGAATATGTTAACATTGTTCCATGATCTAAGTCCCTTTATTTACAGCTAAGTCTCTATCAAATTGATAACTTGTTAAATATCTTTAGACTGGTCATCTTCTTCAAGTTTCCTGATTTCACTCTTTAAACAGTTGATAGTTTCACGACTTGCTTTTAATCTCTCTTTAAGCTCCGCAATTTCAAAACTGGTTTTTTTTTTGGCAGCTTCCAGCTTTTCCCTGGTTTTAACTTCAAGATCTGCAACTGGGATGGTGACAAAGAAAAAAAATTTTTAGTGCACTGCAAAACTGCAATTACTCAATATAATGTAACAGAGGGCAGAATCTGTTTCACAGAATCTTCACTACTGGTAATGCATGGACCCTAAAAGAATCCAGAAGGACCTTCAGATCCCATTTTGGAGTTTGCATGGCTGGAAGTTGGGCTCCTATTCCCTACCAGGTGCAAAAAAAGCACCTTGCCCTCAATGCCTTACCATAATAGTTATTCTACATGTCTCAGATATACAGTGGCACAGAATCTGTCTTTCCAAGTATCCTACAGAAATTGCAGTATTGAAATACTGTAAATTCCAGCTTTTAGCTTATGCACAAAAACATTGTGAGAATGTTACTTTCCCCATATCTCCATTTTTGGGCTGGCAGGGCAACAGAAATCTGAATAGAACACTGGCACTCCACTGCATCGCAAAAACATCACCCCTCCCATTTGTGGGATATTAAATTAAACAGCCCATGCTCCAGGAAGGTCCTACTCGATATCTTCTTCCACAAGCATATTTATGAGAAATGCAAATAAGGAAACACCTCTAATACTTTGGCTGTAGAGCAATAAATCACTTCTATCCATGCCTAGTAGAAACATGTAGCCATTTTTTTAGTTTAAATGTAAAAGTTTGACATGCTCAAAAGTAAAGTCATAAAACATTTTCTACTGTCCAATTAACAAAGTAACAAGCTACAAATACAAAAAATAATCCTCAGTACTTTTGTGAGATAGGTATTTTACAAATGAGGAAACTGGTAAAGACATTATTTCCACCGCACAGATGATAAAACTAAGGCAGGAAAGTCAAGTGATTTACCAAAGTCGACACAGCACTACAGTGGCAACGCTGAGATTAGAATCCAGCATTTTCTGGCTTTCAAAGCTATATGTACTCCCTTAGTCCTCAGTTTTAGGTATCTCAAAAGTATCTTAAGTAATATAATTTACTGACAATACTTAAATGGGAGGGGTAACATACAGACAGGAGGACAGAACCAAAGCGTAAGTGTCCTGGAGAGATTAGAGCAGCAGAGTTATAGACAGCAATGTGAGATCTGGAATGAATATATATTAAATCTATGCTCTGGGTATAGGAAATCAGAAAGCTGATTCAAAATCTGAAGGAGGGGATAAGTCAAATAGCCACACCAGTCAATATTAATAAAGTTTATTTTCATTTTATCGCCTTAATGCCCTCAATACTTAAAGAAAGCATTATAGTTGCAAAGGAAACAAAGAATTAGGAAAGAGGTTGGATAGGGAGGTGACTCTATAAAAGTCTTATCTTAAGAAATGGTCTACAGCATGAAAGTTTGAGAACTTCATTTAGAAAACAAGTAATGGTAACTATTCACTCCATCCCAAAATAGCTGCTCGCTTCAGGTAAAGGTGTTGAAATATTAACATTAAATATTGCAATTCTAAGTTCAATCTCTGAGTTCAGTTAATATTCTATTTAGATGAACGGGGGAAGTTCACACCTCAAATCTATTGGGCAACTTCATTCCTTGTGAGAGGTTTCACAGTGGTAGCTGTGTTAGTCTGTACCAGCAAAAACAACAAGGAGTCCTTGTAGCACAAGGACCCCTCAGGGGTTTTTTCATTCCTTGTGTTACTCTCCGACTTCACTGGAATTACATGAACGATAAATATTTCTATCAGCCTTCATATAGAATTATTCACAAGTAAACAATTGTGAATAATGTACAAATCTGAAACCTTCAGATCCTAAAATTAGTATAATACTTAATAGATATGTCTGTAGAGATATTTTTCAAAAACATATAGAGATCTTTCCACATACAAATTTCACTTTACAGCAGCAGACAAAGATAATTAAAAACATTAATGGTTAATCTTAACTTCTAAAATTCATGTGTGACATTAGAATTATCAGTTGGCACTTACACTCTGTTTCATGCTTATAAGCTCCTAGTGTTAGCTGACGAGATGTTGTCAAAAGCTGCTGCATCATAGCAGTAGGATCTTGAAATATCTAATAGAGGAGAAAAATACACACCTGTTATCAATCTCACTATTTAAAAACAAAACCTTTAATATGTTCTCTTTTCTTACCATCTCATCATAAAACTCGGATACTACAGTTTTCTTTCCCAGTATTGCATTGGTGTCAGACTGAAACAGCTTCAGCAAATGGTACAAAGTTACCTGTGCAAGGAAAACAGATAGACCTGAATAAATGTAATATGCACTTTAAGAAAAAATAAGTGATACACCACAATGGAATTAAAACATTCATTGCTCTTTTTGCTGTGCAAGCATATAGGATTTTTAAAACCCTGTAAGAATTCAAGAACTAAACCGATCTTCTGATACTGTTTAAACTTTTAAATTCAGTTATTCTGTTATATTACTTGTTAAACAACTTAAGCATCCTGAAGCCAAATGTTTGGCTGGATTTGGAAAGGGTCTAGGGAAAGTAAAATAGAAAATAAGATAAACGAAGATTGATCTATAAATGCTACTATAATAATTACCTTTTTTAAGGCATTCAATGAGTTGGTGCACAATAAGCCAGGAAGTGCATCTGCAGAACACTAGCTAGCCACACAACAATATCCCATGTGGACACAGCTACAGCACTAACAGCAGTAAGTCAAAGCACACTACAGAACTTTGCAAGCATGATGTAGCTGGCTATAGATTCACACGCTAGGTTTCTGTGCACCAGCTCACCATGTAGACAAACTCTGAGCACAGAAAAGATCACTTGGTTCATGTGGGACCCTATGCATACGGATGCCTAACAAAACACAGTTAGGAAGTGCTTCTCAATATTAATCTAGATTTATATCACCCCTCGATGAAGTTCTTCTCCAAGAGTTCCTTTTCTATTATTCTGTGGGAGGTGATAGGTAATGGAATAGGCTGTGAGCCTACCTACAAACCCCTGGTTATTCATGGGAGGCCAGGACCATCCATGTGGAAGCAACATGGATTCACAATGGCTCTGGCTCTAATCAACAAATCCCAACAACTCTGCCTTTTCCACTCCTTCCCTTAAGCAAACCAGTTAAGTGCCACAGAGATGGCCGATACCTGCTTCCAGTTGGAAGAATTGTACATAATGGAGGGCAGGGAGGGAAAAAAGAGACAATCCAGGCTATTTTATCTACTTTGATCCTCTTTGGAACACCTTACAGTTCTTTTCCTTCCTTCAACACCATTCAAAAAAGTGTGTAATCCATCATATTCCTCCATAGTGTTAATCAGGTCAAGGAAAGCATAAAGAGTTTGAGAGTTTTGGACAAGGAGAAAGGACTAAGCTCTTGTGATCATGGTAATTTACAAATTCTGTTTTCAACAAGTAGGCATTCCCTTCCCACCTTCAGGCACCACAGTGCTATTTGACACGTGCTTTCCCTATCTAAACTTAGTTTAAAAGTGTGAAAGCCAGCTATGCACTGGGATTCAATGCACAATAAAAAATGACTCCAAAAGCTGAGTAATAGCACACATTATCTTGAAGATGCATCCAAAAGTGAAGGGTAGGCATACAGTAATGAAGACATTAAACATGCTGAGACTTAGTATTAGAACTTTTTCTGGTCAACTGCATCCCATGTCAAAGTTTTATAAATGCACAATACACTACACATAAATAAAGGTTTATTAAAAGCCAAAAAATGTACTTACAGGTCTTTCATTGGGATCAATAAAAAATATCTTGATGATGATTTCAAATTCACCCCAACCCGTTTCAGTGATTTCATATGGTGGTTTGGTAACAACTGCAGTGGAAAAAATAGTGGCAGGAACACAGATGACGGATGACTTATAGTCTCATTATGTGAGAGCTATGTACAAACCATAAAAAAACAAACTTACCTCTTAAAGGATTACCATAGCTTTCATGTAGTTTAAATTGAATTTTCTTCACATAAGCAGACATATCCTAAAATGTAAACACTGTGGCCAATTATTTCCAGATATTAAAGCACACTGAACAGTTTCTCTCATTGTTTCTTCCCCTCCACATATCTATTATGTTTACTAATGTGGCAACCTATCTGCCAAAACCAAGCTATACTCCAGATTATGTGGATTTTTTAAATCTCTTGCTACATTTCTCTCTGATGACATCAATGTAATTTATTTTCTATATGATCCTTGCAGAAATATAGATTGTTTTTAACTGCCAGTCTATATAACTCACTTTTTGCCAAACACTTATCTGCACACCTTTTCCCTAATGCCAGCTCTAAATTTGTACATATAATTAATGTGTTATACTGGAGATGAAGAAGCTATTCTAACTGTGCCTGTATTTTCTTCTGACCCAACACAATGCTAAGGGCCTTTCTGGCATTTCTTGAGTGACACTGTCATTACAACATTTGCTATATTTTAACAGGTAAGGCCCCAATTGTGCAATTATGCATGTGCTTAACTTTGAAGTCAATGGGTCCACTAACATGCTTAAAGTTAAATATGAATGTAAGGGCTTGGCTACACTTGCGAATTAGAACGCATTAAAGCAGCCCCGGGCGCCCTAGCTCACTACCCGTTCACACTGGCAAGGCATGTAGAGTGCTCTGACTCCACGGCTAGAGTGCTCCTGGTACTCCACCTGGGCAAGAAAATTAAACACTTGTTGCGCCTTGGCTGAAACGCCCGGTTGTCAGTGTGAACAAGGTGTTGCATTACTGCGCTCTGATCAGCCTCTGGAAACGTCCCATAATCCCCTTAAGTCAAGTGGTCACTCTTCTCATTGTTTTGGAATCGCTGCAGGAATGCGGATATGCCCTTTGAAAGCTCCGTTTCTGACAGCCGGCTGCTTATGTGCTCTGAAACAAAGCAACCATGACTGTGGAATGCTGTGAGAGAGAGGGGCGGGGGGGGGGGGTCTGCTGCTGTCTGAACTTACAAGACAGCATGCTGACATGCTCTCTCTCCCCCCGCATACACATAACACACTCCCTGTCACACTCCACCCCTCCCCCTCATTTGAAAAGCATGTTGCAGCCACCCGCATGCTGGGATAACTACCACAATGCACTGCTCTCTCTGTGGCCATTGCAAGAGCTGCTAATGTGGCCACACCCGTGCGCTTGTAGCTGTCAGTGTGGACAGACTGCAGCGCTTTCCCTACTGCACTCTACAAAGGCTGGTTTAACTCAAAGCGCTCTACATCTGCAAGTGTAGCCATGCCTTAAGTGTTTGCAGAATTAAGGCCTATATCTAGACAGATGACAATTTATGGTAAACATTTCTAGTTCATCTTTTGGTCAATAATCAACTTTTTGCCTACCTCATTTCTATAGGGCTTTACATAAACTGTCCACTGATGTGTGTGTCCATCTTCCTCTCTCTTCTTTCCAAAATAACGTGCAACATTTCCATAAACTATAGGTTTCACAATAGTAACACCCTTTAAAAAAGAAAAATGATCAGCAGCTCATAAATGATAACTGAAACTAATCCTGTTGAGAAGCCACATGATATATAACAGCTGCTATTTTTACTTCACAATGTAAGCTATTCTGCCATTTGTATCTGTTTTGTTTAAAACATGTATTTTATCATTCTGAGATCTGAGAGACTCCATCTGACAGAGAAATTAACGTTTCTGAGCCGCATAAATAACCTTCCAGTATGGAGGCTACCAGTGGCAAGGGGGAAAAAGAAGGGGTGAAAAATGCGTTTTCCAAAAGACCAGCACAGCAGTTATGAAGCGCCTGCAGCGTGCTGAACCAATCTCTTTGCCCCTCAGCAGAGGCCAAGAGCCAGGTGACGTTGGGAGACCGAGTTGCCCTCCGGCTCAAGCCGCCCAGCCCCGCAGAGCGGGCATGGCGGGACCCGCTCTGTGGTACAGACAGGAAACGTCGGTGCCCCGCCCGCGGGTTAAGGCTGGTCTCTACCACCGCGTGCTGCGAGCGGGGCTCCCTCCGGCCCCCGGCGGCGGCGGCGGCTGCTCCTCACCCCGGCCGGCTCTGGCGGGGACGCGGGCTTTACCCGCGCTGCTGCGGCGGTGGCGGCGGCACTGGCCCTTGGGGCGGGGGGCTGCCAAGCGGTGAACGCGCCGGGGCCGCCACCCCCCGCGGCTGCTTGCACCCCGCGGCGGGCACTGGGCGCAGCTCCGCAGCCCCTCCCCGTGCGGAGCCCCCAGCAAGCCGAGCGCGCCCGGGGGAGGTGGGGACAGGCGCCCTCCCGCCCCCGGCGGAGAAAGGAACCCGCCCCCGGGCACCGGCCCCGCCCCCGGCCGGCACCTTCACTCTTCCCCCGGAGTCAGGCCCGAACTCAGCCATTCTCTTGAACATATTGCAGCGCGGGGAACCGCCCGGGGCCGCGCCGGCCGCTCGCGCTCAGCCCCCTGCTCCGCGGCAGCGAGGCCAGGCCCGCGCGCAGCTCCGGCCACGGCTCGCGCCTTCCTTCCCCGCCGCCAGATCAGGTGGGGGTGGGTTACCCGCCAGACCCCGGCCCGTGCCCCTGGCGCTTCTACGTCACCAGGGAGGCAGCCCGCCCGCGTGCAGCGCGAGGTCACCCCGCCCCCCTATGGCAAGAAGCCGCCGCCAACACTAGTCGGGTGTCACCGGGTCCGTGATGTCACCTTGCCCCGCCCGCCCGCCAGGGGAAGAGGAGAAAGGGGCGGAGCGGGGACGGGGAGTCGAGGCAGGCCAGAAGGCAGGTGGGCTGGGGGTGAAAGCTAGAGCGGGGTCATACGCGGGGGGCGGCAGAGGGGTAACCTGGCCACAGATGCAGCTAACCACAGAGCCCTTGAAACAGTGTGATTGCTAAATATTTGTCTTGTTGATCTGTGGGTAAGTCTGTTTAACACACCTGCCTTATATCATAGTTAAGTGAAATGTACTTAGCAAAATGTTGCAATATTTCAACTGGTTTCAGAGTAGCAGCCCTGTTAGTCTGTATTCGCAAAAAGAAAAGGAGTACTTGTGGCACCTTAGAGACTAACACATTTATTTGAGCATAAGCTTTCGTGAGCTACAGCTCACTTCATCAGATACACACAGAGATCATGAAACAATACCTCCTCCCACCCCACTGTCCTGCTGGTAATAGCTTATCTAAAGTGATCAAGTTGGGCCATTTCCAGCACAAATCCAGGTTTTCTCACCCTCCGCCCCCCCCCCCCCCCCACAAACTCACTCTCCTGCTGGTAATAGCCCATCCAAAGTGACCACTCTCTTTAAAATGTGTATGATAATCAATGTTTCAACTGTTGCTTTCTTTAAGGAACTAATCAATACTGTTCGGTTCTCCCCACACTATTACAATAATCACCCTATTAAATGTGAATAAAATGTGTCATTTATACATTACTACCTGAGAAATAATCCAACAAAACAGATTCAAGCTTATTTTTATTTGTACATATATAATTTCAATAGTTATTTTTAAGCAAATCTCTTTCTCTGCAATTCTGAATCGCTGATGCTTTATTTGTTGTTATTTGTGTTGTGACAGCACCTTGTGCTAATCTAACCCCACTTTACTAACTGTTCCGCTGTGAAGTCCATACATTTGCGCCACCTAGGTTTTGGGGGATGATGCTGTGGATGACACTGAGTATATCAAAATGCCTTACCAACTTTGCAACCAGCAAAGCTCTCTTTTCCCATAGCAGCTGTGCATGTCCAGAACATAAAGTGGGCAAGGAGCCCCTCTCGCCCTCTTCCGCATAAAATCTAAGGGTATGTCTGCATGGCTGGACCATGTCAGCTAACTCAGGCTCATGGAATTCGGGATCCGGAGCTATAAAATTGCAGTGGAGACATTTGGGCTTTGGCTGGAGCCCATGTCTGAACTTCGACACTGCAATTTTACAGCCCCACAGCCTGAGTCCTACAAATTCAAGTTACCTGACACAAACCACTAACAGTGTAGACATCCCGTAACTCTCCTTAGGATCAAACGGGCTGGAGTAGCTACAGTATGGCATTAATGGTGGAAAGGGGATAATGTATTTTTCAGTTCTGCATGGCCAGGGCTTGTCACTATGTTTCAAGTTGAATATGCCTTGTGTAGCTGCAACTCCTACTCCAGGATTTTCTCACATGAGGGATCCTGTGCCCTGGCTTACACTGGCAGGGCTGAATTAATTCCGCAGAATGAAATCCCAATTTCACTGACATCAACAGCAAACTCCTATTGACTTCAATAGGGCCAGGCTTTCACCTATAGTTTCTATAATGGAGAGGGCTGTATATTAGCATTTGTGAAATATTCACAGAATAATAGGAAATGCTTGAAATTAGTGTGTCTGTATTGTGTTTAAATTTTCATGAAAATTGGCCAAATTTTGTAGGAAAAATAGTCATTGTATGCCACTACTTTTTTCATATTGTAACAGTTTAAAATGTACATATGTGCAAGTATAGGGGGATCACTGACAATCTCCTGTACATATTGCTGCCCCTTTTGACCCAAGCAGCTAGTCAAAGTCTTGGGCCCTGTTGGTGTTCCAGTTGGGCAAAAATTGGAGAGAGGTATTTCTCTGAGGCAGTTTATTTACAAAAAATGTACAAAGCTCTGTATCTTCAAATGCAGAAGAAATCAAATATCAGGAAACAGGTTCTTTTGCATAAAAAGCAGTATTTGTGGCACCTTAGAGACTAACATGTATTTGAGCATAAGCTTTCGTGAGCTACAGCTCACTTCATTGGATGCATGTAACCCTTCTGCCCGTCAGAGTTGGCAGCAACAAGGGCCGGGTTCAGTATCTAGGGGTTCCATTCCAATAACACAATGCAAAACCGGCTCGAGCCCCCACCCAGTGACCTGGGACAAATATATACCACCCCTGCTGGGCACCTCTAAGAGGCAATACTTCCCCTCTCGCAAGCACAGAGTCTTTTAATAACAGAGAGAAACAATGTGGCATTATGTTGGGGAAACACCACCAAAAGGGTTCATAACACAACCCATGAGCAAAAACCCACCCCAAGCAAATTGGGCCATGTCCTTTCCCTTTGGTTCTGGAGTCCAGCAACCCAAAGTCACCCAAAGTCCCAAAAGTCCAACAACCCAAAAGTCTCTGTCCCTGGTAAGTGCAGCCCCAGAGTTCAAAAGTTTATCTGCAGAGTTTTACTTCCCAGCCTGGGTGGAAATGGGGAGGGGGTGAAGGGGCACCTTATGTGATCCAAAGTCGACTGCTCCACCTCTCTTAGGTGGCTCCGCTCTACTTGCTGTCCCATGAATTGCTCTGCTCTGCCAGCCATTCTGCTCCACCAGCCATCCCGCTAACTGCTCCACTCCACCAACCAGTTCGCTCTGCCAGCCATCCTGTGATATGTCCCACAGTATATCTTCAGACCCCACCACTACTTAACACAACACTCAGTGATTTCAGCTCTTAATAATTTTAGCTCTTTAGTGATTTCAGCTTGTAGCAGGGGAACCTCATTGCTGGTGCACCATTGACCCAAAGTGAATTCAGCTAAGCAGCCTGTAACTAGACTTGCAGTAGAATCAAAACTAGCTCTGATATTCCACAAGGGCAGGGCAGGGGGTGTATAACTAGCATATAGAGCCTTCCCTAGGAGTCCATAGCCTTATTGGGATCCAGGAGGTGGGCAGGGCAAAGTCCATAGCACAAGATATTAATACCTACCCCCCAACCTCTCTCTCAATTCACTGGGTTTTGGAACCCATGACCCTTGCCTAGTGAGTGCTGCTCAGTTGATGGCGAGTCCCTCCATCATAACAAAAGGCCAAGTACAGTTCCACTGTCCTTGATTCGTATAATCAGGATAATAACAGTTTATTCTTTCTGCCCCAATAACAGAGAAACTGGGGCTCCTACAACAGCCAAAGTGACCATCTGGGTGGGGTGGGTGTGCCTATGCAAATGAGATTAGCCCATGAAGTTCTTTTCCACAACCCACCACAACTCGCCACCAGATGTCAGGGTAGAGCTCATCCTGACTCTGCTTACATGCATACAGCACCAAGAGAACTCTGTACCTTTGACCCAAGAACCCCACCTAGGTTTCTTCCAGGGTCAGCCACCGCATGCTTTCAGCTGTTTCTTCAGTCTCTCTCTCTCTCTCTCTGAGAGGACTGTTGGGGTGGGATGTTTGGGAGGGAGGCTGAGAGTGTGTGTGGTTTGCTGTTCTCTCTGCTTTTCTATTTGTTGGGAAATGGGCTTTTGGTTTTTTGTGTTTGTTGTGGGATTAATTTCAAGGGTTTTGTTTGTTTTAGCAGGCTTTTTTCTGGCCTCTGGCCAGTTCAGTGGGAATAGACCGCAGTTTATTGTGGATTCTGAGGGTTTAATCCATGGCTGGGGGCTATGGATTTTGCCTCCAGACTCTGCCTCTGTGGAGCAGTGTGTTCTAGCTCTAGGGAAGATGACTGGCTTTAAAAATGTGAAGTGTGCCTCCCATATGAGCAAGGCTGTTGTGGTGGTGGTTGTTGCCACACTTGGGGCACGTCTACACTGGCAAAGTTACAGCGCCAGCAGTTACAGCGCCGCTCAGAGAGGGCAGAAGGAAAACCGCAGTTGTATGTTCATACTGACAGCTGCCTGCGCAATAGCGTGTTCACACTTGCAGCGCTATTTGGAGTGGTGCACTCTGGCAGCTATCCCACAGAGCACCTCTTTCTCTTTTGCTGTTAAGACTTGTGGGAAGGCAGAGGGGATTGCGGGGCATCCTGGGATCAGTCCCAATGTCCCATGATGCATTGCTTCACATCCCAGCAGTCCCTGTGCTTCTGTCCGCATTTGGCGCCATCTTTCAACGGTTTGTGTACTGCGCGCCCTGCCTCTTTCAGGCTGCAGGAATGGATCCAAAACTGCTGACCAGTATGCTGCTCGCTCTCACTAACACGTCACGAGGGGCAGTGGAGTTATTCCTTAAACTACAAAGTCAAGGAATGCGACGTTGATCTCACCACACATAGTAGCTGTGACATGAAATTGCTGTGGCGTTCACGGAGGTGCTGACCACAGTGGAACACCGCTTTTGGGCTCAGGAAACAAGCACTGAGTGGTGGGATCACATTGTGATGCACGTCTGGGATGACAAGCAGTGGCTGCAGAACTTTCGGAAGACAAAAGCCACATTCATGGGACTGTGTGATGAGCTCGCCCCAGCCGTGCGGCGCAAGGACATGAGAATGAGAGCTGCCCTGTCATTGGAGAAGTGCGTGGCGATTGCACTGTGGAAGCTGGCTACTCCAGTCTGCTACTGATTGGTCGCTAACCAGTTTGGAGTGGGAAAGTCAACCGTTGGACTCATGTTGACGGAAGTGTGCAGGACCATTAATTGCATCCTGCTTTGAAAGACTGTGACTCTGGGCAATGTGCGTGACATTGTGGATGGCTTTGCACAAATGGGCTTCCCTAACTGCAGAGGGGCGATAGATGGCATGCATATTCCAATTCTGGCACCAGACCACCTAGCCACTGAGTACATTAATCGCAAGGGGTATTTCTCAATGGTTCTCTGGGCACTTGTGGATCACCGTGGGTGTTTCATGGACATTAATGCAGGCTGGTCCAGAAAGGTGCATGACGCAC